CCCCCCGTGGCAATGCCCCCACAGGCGCTTGTGAACCAGCCACCGGCTTCACGCTCACCCTCCGCAGCACAAGGTCCAGGCACCCTCCAACCCACAGAGGAGACCACGCAGGGGCAGAGTCACCTCCAGAAGATGACAGCTTTTTGAGATAAGCACACCAAACACACCTCTGGGCAACTTTTTCCCCGCTCCGGGAATAACTCACCGTATCGCAGGGGAAGCTGCTCCTCGGCTGCCTCTTTGAGCTGCATCTGCGCCACCCGCTCTTTCACCCCCCCTCGCTTGGAGCTGAAGAGGAACCCCAGGCTGACGTCGTCGAAGCAGGCGATGCTGGGCACGATGGTGAGCCAGTTGAGGAAACTCAGGTTTCCACTTATGATCAGAAGCACCTAAACGGGAAAGAAGGCAGCAGAGGGTGTTGCATCTGCTTAAATGACAACAGGAAAGTGTGGTGAAGGAAATGCTGGATGGATTTTAGCACCCTAGCACATACTTTGCTGATTTTCCATGATTGCAACAGTGATGGCAAACCTCTCCCTCCCTGCCCAGGCTACAGCCCAAATGTACCCCACTGGCTCGCAATGCGAGCTCTGCCCTTGCTTTCAGCAGTGGAAAGATCAGCCAGGGTATAGTGTGACTTGATTTCCATAGTGCTCCCGCTGACGGGCGCAGCGGTTTGGCCCCAGGGGAATCGTCTGCTTCCTGCTTATGCCGATGTATCTGTGACAGCCACATTCCTGAAACCCCTCAGGAGGAAATATTGGACCTTCTAATTAAAGAGCAGCATTAAATATAGAAGTGTGCATTTTTTTAAGAGGCATTTTCTTTAATTTTAGCTTTTATTGGCCTTTGAGGAGAATGTCTTGCATGCGTAAGGCAGAGAAAGTGGAAAAATCCGCAAGCCTTCGGAGGAGTCTCCGTAAATATTTGTACACATTGGGAAGAGCTTTTTGTAGGCACGTGTTATTTTTTGTCTTGCTCTTGAAAAATGTGTGACTTGAAAAATATGAGGAACTTCCTTGCAGTTCTCCAGCAAGTCCTAATGAGCATCAGGCAGTCGCGTCTGGGCACTGCCCGTTCAGCCTTGGTCACGAATCACAGCTGTAAGACGTCACCTCCTCGCCACGTTCATACGTCAGCCGTGGGGAAGGGGCAGGTACGCGCCAACCCCCCGCCAGCTTCACATAAACCCGAATGCACAGAGCAATTTCTGCTTCCTCACAAGCATTGGTTTTAATTTCTATTTCTCCAGCCTAAATTTATTGAAGCCCAGCCTATACTTACTCTTTTTTTCTAAGCCAGTATTTTACCTGTTCGTAGACCCCCGTTTTATTTATACAGTTACATCCCTTCTCCTCCTTTATACTTTCAAGCAAACCAAACCACTCTGGTCTCCTCTCCCACAGGACTTCCCTGCCTGCTTATCCCAGCAGCCATGCCCTCAACCCGAGCAAGGTTCAATCCATCTGTCTGGGTGCTGACAAGGACCGTAAGGAGGATATCAGACAGGTCTCACCAGGAACTTGTACAGTGATGCTGCCATTTCTCAGGCTCAACCAGAACTACCCCTCCCACTGCGTTTTAATGCCGCATTTATCTCCTCTGCCCGGGTGTCACGTTAGTGCTGCCCAGCCCGTGCACACAAGTCCCCCTACACATAAGCAGTTTCCAAATACGTAGTTCCCAGCATCACACAGATGTGTCTGCTCCTAACCCACGGCGCATCATCCCGCATGTCGCACAGCCTAATTCCATCCTATCTGCTCATTAACCTTCGGAAGGCAGGAGGCTGGGCTGCACCGACACCACCAAGGATGCTGAGAACGGACGGACTCAAAAATTCATTGCTTTGCTTTCATATGCAATGTGGTTTTTAACCGAAAGCAGCCAAAGCATTTAATTGCTCCATGTTTCATCCGAGGGGGCACTGCTGCCAGCTCAACCTTGCTGACACCAAGACTTACACCAGATGCAGAACGGACATTGTGAACTTGCCCCAGTGCCAGCAAAACGACGCGTCAAACGAAGCCAACCGCAGGGCGGTGGCCATGAAGACACATTTGGGTTTCCCTGGGGCTGCCCAGCCATCGCAGCGGTCCCAAAGGAACGTGTTAGGAGCCATTTAGTATGTTGGCATAAAACAATATATGGGAATCCACGCACACAAAGACAAGAAGAGAAGAACAGTTGATACCTGTTTGGGACTATTTGAGTTTTGAGGCTGATTTGGATTCTTGTCCCATTATAGTCACATTACTTAGGGTTCAGCCCTAATTAACTAGCTGTTCCTCAGACACGTTAAAAAAAAAGAGGAGGAAAAAAGGGAAGAAAAGAAAGTAGTCTCACCATCTCATCCATAAAAAATGACGGTTATAAAGCTGACTTAATGTATTACACGTTGAAAAATAATGCCCTGATGTAACAAAGTCATTTATTTTTCAGCCTTCAGACCAGCTAATGAGAACTTCCACCACCTTCCAGCCGGGTTGAAAGCTGTAACCTTGATTGGCACCGCTATTACTTTATTTAAAGAACACTCCTCCATTCACGCAGCTGAACTTTATCCTCCCATGAACTGTTTACTCACAATTTTTAGCGCATGTGGCCAAGGAAGACTTTCAAGAGTGCAAGACCAAACATGCGAACCCACAACACCCCCCAGCATCCCACTGCAGGCGGAGGAGCTGGAATGAGGACCACACTCCTGCCAAATTAGCCTCAGCCTCCTCACTGGCCCACCACTGGTCTCCTCCTTTCAGTGAACAAGCGACAAAGCTTTCAGGAACCCTGAGGGGATGCAGAAGCTGAAGGACCGACCACAGACCCAAGAGGCACAGCTGAAGTTCTCCGTTGCTCCTCCAGCCCATGTTGCAGCCAAAGACAGCGGGTCTCTGGAGGAAACCCAGCTGCCTTCGAGCCGACTCAAGTCACACACAAGCAGACTCCTTGGGAGCTGGAGACCATCACAGACTTCCCACTCCCACGGCAAAGCACACCTTTGGGTCTGCCTTCTCCAACATACACAAAAACTCCACAATGAACAGGGAAAAGCTACATCCCAAGCGAAGAGGAGATCTTAGTGAACTTTGCAGGTTCCCCTCCTCTGGCCAGGACGATGAAAGCTCAGACAGGTACTGCCAGGGATCAACCCCATTGTGTAACGTACCGCGTAGCCACTATCGTGGTAAAACTTACTACAGCACAAGACAGACCACGTAACAGAGCAGGTCTTTGGCTAAATCCTGGGATGTCTAGGAACACTGCAATATATTTTTTACATATTCTTTCATGCTGCCCTTGGCTCTTAGAGAGGTGTCTCTTGACCTCACCCGGAGGTCTCCGACCTCTGCTGGGGCTTGTTTGAGAGCAAGGTCTCCACGGCAGTGCCAACCATATGGCTGGGGACAAGGAAATGAGCCCACCACCTGACTTCACAAGCAGCACGCTTAATTTGTTTTCAAGGGCTTTTGGGCATTACCTGGGGGTTTGTTATCAGGATTTTGTTATACTCATGTAACACGAGGAGGCTCCAATTGCAACGTGGACCCGTTTAGCTTGGACTTGCCAAAACAGATGGTAAGAGGACAGTTCCTGTTCTGAAAAAAACTAAATCTAAACATACCGGACAATGTTAGATCAAAATTAGGATGTATTACAGCTGTGTTACAGGCAGAGAGCGGAAGAATTTTGGCATCTAATTCTTATTTCAGCAACGCTCTCTGGGGATATCACCTTAAAGAAACTCACTCAGGATCACGTAAGTCTTGCAGCAGAGCCTGAAGTAGGACCCAGATTTCCCAGTTACAAATCCAATGTCTTAATTACACATCCCCCCTGAAATACCTGCGTGCCCAAACACTGGTCCCCGGAGTTTCCCTATGCTTTATTCCAGAGTGCCCCCATCCAGCGTGCCCTCCCCTTCCCTGAAACAGGCTGTGTGGTGCACGCTCTCCCGCTCGAAAATAAGAAGTGGTCTCCCAAAATAGGATTCCACAATGCAAACATCAATAACACATGCACAATTTCAGCCTGAGGACTTTCAGCCAGTGTTCTGTTAAAAAGATGTATGTTTTCTCATTAGAAACAACAAATAAATGTTAAAAACATGTCATTTCATATTTTACATGATTGGCACCATTTTTTAAAATATGGTGATTTGCAAGTTACAATTTTCAAAACCCCAGCAGGACTCTTCAGTAACAGAGTCACATAATCTTAACAAAATGAGAGATCTGACCAATTACAGTAAGTAACAAAAGTCCTAACTATTATTTAGCTAAAAAAATAATTACTTCTTTATCCTGAGTTGGATAATTATCCAGAATTATGAGACGAAAATAGTATTTAAATCTGGATTACATACACGTTAGGTCCTTGAACATAACGTGTTATAGTCGAGGTTTGGTGCTCCCCCTTTGACCCGAATGTGATTCGGTTCAATGCCTATTAATCAGCCTGTATTCATTAACACACTTCTCGCTTAGCTACTTCGTTAGGAAACTCTGATCCGTTTCTGATGTGATTTGCCTGGCGCAATTGCAGTAATATTAAGAAGATAGCTCTGCACTTTGCCACTTCGGCCAAGGCTCATTTTACAGCCTCGTACGGAGCGACTGGGTGGTCCATGGGCTTTTTTTTTTTTAGTAGTGATTCACCTCTCTTTATTGCTTGGAAGTCAGAAGCAAGATATCTTATTTCCACCAGCCCTTAAAAATCAGGGGATTCAAAAATAATACAAGTTTGGCGTTTTCTGGTCTGTGGGTGGAATCACGAACCTGACGCATTTTTAACTTCAGCTATTCTGACCGAGTCTTGATGCTCACGCCAGCCGCTGCGACTGCCGCCCGGGCACCGGCAGCGGATTCAAACACAGGTTAATATTATACCCTGCCCGAGGGGGGCTGAGCACCATGAACCCCTCAGCTTTGCAAAAATAAACCTCGAAGGAACTCCCACTTCAAAGTCAACTCACAGGAAAACAGGTTATTTTTCAAACATGCTGACGGGTGGCTGTCCTAGCAAACGGTTTCGAGGCCGTTTTTGCACGAGGTGTATGTTATTTCATCGATGAGTCCGGCCGGCATTAAAGGGTGAAGCTTTGTCAGCTGAGCAACCGGTGTCTTCTGCAGCGCTGATCCTGCGAGCGCAGCATCCCCCAGGGTTAGTGGATCCTTTGCGATTCAAACCAGTATTTGCCTTGGCAGGCAGCGCACGTTTACCTAAATCCTTCCTTTTCTGCGTGAAACCTCCTAAGCCTCCGTGTCCTGCTCTCCCCGCCCTGGCAAAGCGGAGCCACGCCGGTTCCTGGCGGGAAGTTTAATTTAACACGAATTTCTCTGGGCAGTGAGGGCAGAGACCTCTGATCACCGTGTGCTCACCTCCTGCCCCG